AAGAAAAGTCCAAGGGTACTAACTCTCTGGCAGACTTTGAAGAAAGAAACGAGGGGCATAGATGGAGCCCCCGGGAAATACGGACCAGATGTGTGCCAAGTTCAATGGCAACGTCTAGAGGGTTTGCTACATCAACACCAGCGACCCGTAGAACAGGAGCCGGGTCAGGAGAGTATTTACCACTCAATTGCCTCACTTTTTTCCAGACTGCACTCATAGAAGAAGCAGAGGTGATGGTGGAAACAGTCTCGCCAGCAAGTGCGTTTAGCTTCACGGATGACACGGCGAGCGATCGCACGCTTCTGCTTAAAATCAAGAAGTCTCTCAGCGGTTCTATTGTACCGGTACCTGCCCCATGCAGCGCGTTTCAAACGTACTGCACGAGCACAAGCAGACCACCAAGGCACGCACTTCTGAGAATGCCTGCCTGAGGTTTGGGGTATAGAATGAGAAGCTGAGGTATAAACTGACGTCGAGAAGAGGTGTAGGAGCTCATCAATGGAGGATGAAGAAGGAACCTCACTAAAAGCAGTGAGTTGCGAGTAAAGATCCCAATTTGCCTGATCAAATTGCCAGCGAGGGCTACGGAAAGGTGGTGAATAGGAAGTAAGAATGATTGGAAAATGATCGCTGTCATGTAAGTCTGGTAGAACAGACCAGGTAAGGTCTAGTGCAGTGGAGGAAGAGCAGACTGATAGATCGATGCAAGAGAGAGTATGAGTACGAGGATCAAAATGGGTGGGAGTACCCGTATTTAAAACATGGAGGGTGAGAGGCGAGAAAAGCCTCCAACTGGATGCCACGTGAGTCACAATGAGACCCCCCCCCCAGAGGAAATGGTGGGCGTTAAAATCACCAAGTAACAGAAGTGGTGGTGGTAAGGATGAAACAAGAAAGGTAAAGTCTGGGATAGAAAGTGCTCGAGAAGGAGAGAGATATAAAGAACATATTGTAAACCACTTATTCAAGTGGATACGGGCTGCAGTGTAATGCAGCGAGGTATGGACAAATAGTCGACAATACGGAATATCATTGCGTAGAAGAAGGGCACTTTCCTTAAAGGTCTCATCTGAGAAAGGATCCGAAGAATACAATAAATTATAGCCTGAGAGGTTGGAAAACAGCCGAGTGTAATTTTGCTTCTTGTAAGCAAGCACCAACAGGGGAAAACCTGGAAAGCAACATCTGAACCTCACCCCGATTACCCCTGAGGCCGCGGATATTCCACTGTAAATAGGCCATGATTGGCGATGAAGAAAATACCAGGAATCCGTAGGGAACGGCACCTACGGACTAGAGGGGTTAGAAAAGTCAACGTGTGGTGGCATTGGAAGACGTTCAAGCAGCGAAGGAACCGAGCGTTGCGAAGAATGGGGTTGTGAAGACGGAGGAGAGGGAAGAGAAGGAACAGGAAGGGAATCAGTGTCCATTGAAGGTTTAGTCTCTGCAATATATTCTGAAATGGCTTCGTGTTTCTGAATTCAAAGATGTATGTGAGACCATATTGGAGATAGAAGGGGGAGGGTGAGTAAAGATTGGGACAGTAATGGACTGTACCAAAGTAGAGGGGGAGGAAAGTGTAAGGGACTGGAGATGAAGTGTGGGGGGGGGGGGGACAGAAGAGGCAGAAACTTGGGAAGTGGCAGAAGAGGGAGAAACTTGGGAGGGGATGGGGGTGGAAGGCATAGTACGAGGAGGAGGGTGAATCTCCACACTTGTAATAGAGCCAGAGAGAGGGGAAGAACTAGGCCCAGAGACTGGAAAGGTAAAGTGTGGAGGTGGAAGAAGGGGCAAAGAATTTTTGAGCAATGTGGATTTTTTGGACTTCTGAGAAGTAGAGGGGCGATTGGTATTAGGTGTCGTACGAGGTCCTGTCGATACTGGGGCTTGTGAGGAAGGACGCGAAGATGTGAGAACAGACAGAGTTGTAGTTGGGACGTCAGAGCCAAGGACAGCAAAAGGATTAGATTCCGGAGTGGCTATGGGAGGGGTAACAACAGAGGAGGCTGCAGAAGATGGGACCCCAGAAGTGGGGGGGATGTTTTGAAACACGAGAATAAGAAACACGGGGTAGTCTCCCTTGGAGGCTGAGATGAGTAACCGCCATAGCATAAGGGAGACCTTCTGCCTCTGAGGCAACGGATTTCACGTTCATTTAAGTAGACCTGGCAATGGCGGGAGTACGAAGGGTGAGCTTCATTAAAATTAAGGCAAGATGGAGGTTGACTGCAAGATGTATTAGAATGGTCGTCAGCACCACAGATTGGGCATTCGGCCCTAGATCTGCAATATTTCGCTGGGTGACCAAAACGCCAGCAATTTCTACACTGTTGCGGTGTTGGTATCACCTTTCGAACTTGTAACCGATGTCCCGCGACATATACAGAGGACGGAAGTTCTCGGCCGTCAAAAGTTAAACTAGCTACATTGCAAGGGTAACGTCTCCGCCCACGGGCAGGAAGGACATAAGTGTCTACTGTGAGGATTGGGAGATCCTGGAGTTCCAGCTGTTCAAGAATGTCATTGCCACATGACTGGAAATTCTGTTGAACTATGGTATGGGGCAGAATGACAGTACCACTACAAGAATTGAGAGAAAGATTTTTTCAATAGTGATAGTAGTAGTATCTATATGCAAAAGGAGAAAAGGCTCATGAGCTTGGGTAGCATTCTGGACAGTGACTATGAGCGTACCGCTCTTGAGAGCATGAAATGAAATATCTCTACCAACATGACGCAGGAGAACTTTGCCAATACTATGGTCAGAAAGGTAGGCAGAAGAAGTCTGTCTTAAAGTAAAGAATTTAGTCCATTGTCTGGTCGGAAACTGAGCGTGGAGAGGGAGTACATGACGTGTCAGTCTTTTCCGAGTAGAATGGGAAGGTAACGAAGGAGCATCATCAGGAGATTGACGTTGGCGTTTAGGAGTAGGACCGGAGTTGGTCCGGCGTGAAATGGGCGGGCGATTCAAAAATTGCCATACCGTAGAGGGAGAAGCCGAAAGCATAGTCAAAGGAGAGCAGAGTTCAGACAAATCGAAGGAGTCAGTCGAAGCCCCGGTACCTGAAGCGGGTGAGGAAACAGCACCAGCAAGAGGTACAGGGGCATCAGGAGTGTCCGAAGTGGTCTAAAAACAAGGCAGGGTCAGAATGGGGTGCAGTATCAAGAAGGGGCCTGGGGGTAGTGGGTTCATGGATTGGGTTCTCCATGGTTAGGTTACTCCTTTGCTTTTTGTTTTTAAGAAAAAATAAAATAAAAATAAAAAAAAAAAAAAAAAAAGTGGGGAGGAATAGTTCCCAGGAGGAATGAAAGGGCCGGAAATCTCCCTCCGCGCCCAAGAGGACCTCAGCACCGCTAGTAGCGCAGATGCAGCATGGAACCCGTGCCATACCCTACCCTTCATGCCAGTAAACCAGCAATCCGGGATAGCAACCTCACATCTGCCGAGCTACCTCTGTGGACAAAAGAGAGGGCGGCCGGATATCCGCCACAAAGCATACCTCCTTCGGCCACCACCCCCGGAATCCGAAAGGTGGCTTCCAGAGATACACCCAAAGCTACTCCGGGATACCGGAGGGGGATTGGGACATCCCCAGGCGATCCAGATTCCACGGCAAACTGGCCACCGCCAAGAACCTCAACGGAATGGGATGGACCTCGGTATCCTTTCCCCTACCTAGGAACTAGCGCGCCTGTGGGAGAAATCCCAAAGGCCAAAAAGAGGAAGGGCAAAAGGGAGGGGTAGGGAGGAGGAGGAGGAAAGGAAAAAGGGGAGGATGGGATAGGGGAGGGGAGATTGGGGGGTAATTAGGTTCGGTCTGAGGATGGGGATAATAAATGCCTTCACACGACGCTGTTCAGAAACACTGCTGCAAATCCGACAGTCAAAAGACTATCATCGGTATACACTGATGGTATGATAATGAGATTGAAAGTGGTTAAGAAAAAGAGCAAGAAGCCACCATAGGCACCTGGGCTTTTGCGCATGGCAGTTTGAAAGAACAGATACGAACCATTGGAACTAACCAAGGGGGTAGGGAAAAGATGCTACATGAACATAGGAAGGTGGTAACTGAGAAGGCAAGTGTGAATGCAGGCGAAGAGAAAAGGGACGGAGTAAACAGGGGTGACGAACAAATAATGTCTACTAATACCAGTGACTATTCTATATATGGAAGGATTGCAGGTCATGAGAGCAAACGTAATAGTGAAGGCAATGAGCATCATGGCGATCAGACAAGGATTGAATATTTGCCTCTGCATAGCTCTAAACTGGTGAAGGGCAAAAAGCACCAAGGCATAAACGTAATCCCTGGTGATGGATAGGATTAAGGCTAGAGTTGCAGGAGAGGCTGCTGAATATCTGGTCACCATAATAGTTTTGATAAAATTAGGGCTGAATGTAGTCAAAGGAGAGTTCTACAATCAGCCCCCCCATGATTATCAAAAAAGAAGCATTAAACCACAAGGGCTAAGCCCCTATGAAACATGAGCAAGGGTTTTAAGGAGGTTCAGCCAGTTATGACAAGTTGCCTTCAGAGAGGTAATGTGAGGATTCCAGGATAATGTCAAGCAGAAGGCCTAGAAGCCTGACCATATGTTCTGGGATACGAAACTACATTTAAAGGTGCCATACAAAAAGGGTATGCTTCTGATCAAATCCATTTTTTTTTTTTTTTTTTTTTTGTAAGAACAATAGCAGTGTACATCTAGATGTCAGGTATATACAGAGGAATTGCTGTGATATGTTTTCTGATGGTCTGGTGCACAGAGCTTGTCAGAAAAGTTCACACTAAACTTACCAATGAAGTCACTTCTCAGGCATTATTTAATAGGAACATTGACTTGTGATAGCATGTGAGAATGGTTTAAAAAGCACAAATCATGAATGTGCCATAAGCAGTCAATGTACTAGCACTGCCAAGGACCACAGCAGTAACTTTTCTCCTGCTTACAGTACAAGACTGCAAAAGAAACATAAGGATTTCACAGAAACCAGAAACATATATTTAGTTATATTCATAGGAAAACACTAAACCTATGGTCATATTATATCACTTATGGAATAGGGGGCAATAGATCAGAGTAGCAGCCAATTCCATGAATTAAGAACTTTACCAGTAGATATTAAAAACTGTACATTTCTTACCTAACCCCCTCTTAAAATATTATCTACAGGTTAAGCACTAAAATTTACATTAGGTTTCTGAAATGTGATGCTCCATCATGAATTTTTCATTAAGTGTTTAGGAACTACAAGAGCTTCAAAGATTTCATTTCAGAAGAGCTGAGTTACTATCACTTGGTAATGGCTATTAAGATGACCTTGCCCAGACAGGAATGAAATTTTTAAGAGTCAACTTCTGCAAACAATTCTCATCATGGCTGTTTTTTTTTTTTTTTGCTGCTGTACAGGTGAATAACATTTCTGTTTACCATTATCATAATGTTGTACAGGGGAGTAACACCTCTTCGAATTGAATCTAATCGAGGACGATGAGAGCTGTCGTAAGATGGGAAGGAAGAAGGATAAGGAAGGATGGAAATAACTGGAAAAGGATGGGGAAGAGGAGGAATCAAGGCAAGTGGCCCAACCACTTTGGGACTTGTGGTACTGGAGGCGTAGATGGAGATGTATTTCAGAAACACTGACGAAGACGATGTAGAGGGCAACAGGAACTCAGCAGGTGCTGGCTGCATCTTGCTGGATGGATTATTATTGCAACTTAAATGATGATAGGCGGCTGCAGGCGACATGGAAGGAGCTCATCGTTGATTGGTCAGTTCATGGAGGTTTGGCGTTTACCTGGAGTTATGGCGTTGTTTTATGATTCAGTTCCGTTTTCAAGACGTTTAAAACGTTGTAGAGGGAGCAAATTTATACGTGTCAGCAAGTGTTTTTGGCTGGAATCTTCTAGTTGGTCTACAATGGCCTTTAGAATAGTAGAAAGTTCAATTGTACGAAGAGTTCCAGCTGAGCAGGAAGAATCGATGGTAAACTTGACTTTCTTTTCGATGAGGTGAGAATAAAGTTCATGAAGCAGCATGTCTTGATATTTTTCTGTAGTGCAGAAGTTGATTCCAGTCCATGAAGTATATTTTTTAGTATCTTCATCTTTATCATGTCGAGAGTTGCGAGATGATTTTTTTGCTGTTTTTTCTTTCTTGTTAGGTATTGTTGAAGGAGAAAGTGAATATTCGTTGTCATCTTCAGTAGACAAATAGGAAGATGTTTCTGGTGACGAGGCTTCTGATTGGTCGGTTTCAATGAGGAGTGGTGGCGGTGAAGGTTTCTCATTGGACGTTGTTGGAGTGACGTCACTAGTTGATGGTGGTGTTGGATCTGCTACATTCGAGGTTGTGACTAAGTCTTTGGTGAATTTGAGAATTTCTTCAGAAGGTGGCAATGCTGGAAATGTGAATGATGGCATGTTATTTAATGCAAATAACTCTACCATAGAGTTAAAAGATCCAGGTACAGCCATGTTCTGCATGTGAGCGTATAGTAGACAATAGTGGATCTTCGTTACGTCACATGTTGGAGGAGTGATGGTGGTGGAGGCGGGCTGAGTAGTTGCTTGAAGTAATTTTGTAGTGTCTGCTTGCAACTTTGCAATTGCGGCATACGTTGGGGTGTTGTTGGTAGATTTTTTCTTTGTTGCATCTTGTTTCTTCATAATATCCTTTCTTGTACGACATTTTGCTGCCAATGTATGGTGGTCATTACTTTTGCAGTTTAAACATGCTGGTTGTGTTGGAGCAGCAGCGGTACAGGAACTGAAGGCGTGTCCCTCACTACCACATGTAGTGCAGAACTTCTTGTCTTTTACTGGACATGCTTTGGTGGTGTGAAGATAATAGCAGTTCCAGCAATGTTGGATGTAGTGGTATATCTCTGCTTCTATGTAGGTGGGACTGATGTAGTAGTAGTAAATAGCAAGACCTTCGTTCAGAGCAGTGGCAGCCATGTTCACGTCGGTGAAGGTGACCTTGAGCATTGACAATGCATTCGGGATTTTGGTAATGCTATCAACAGTAGCCCAAGTATTTTGCGTTTCAATGGATGACTTGAGTTCAGCAATTGATTGAGAAGTCAGAATCTTGTCCAGTTTTTTTAGGAATACTGATTTTCTTGCCCTGAGGGCAGGAGAGGATGTAACAGTAAATCCTTGAGCAGTAAGAGTAGTGGTGGCTTCTGTGGTAACTTCTCTGCTTCAGCATCATTGTGACATAACAATGAATGCTTCTTTCAGTGACAAAATAGCATTGAATTTCACTTGCAATACTTTCTGCACAACAGTGGCAAGAGCAAGCTTCGTTGAATCAACGGTACCACTTTTTGGCTTGATCTTTACACGATTTGCGTAGCTCATCGTGCAAGTCAAGGCGAAGACGGCGCTGGTAAAGGTTCCCCTCCCCAACGGGGATCGTAGGGAGACAGAGTAAGTAAGGAGAGCTGCTATGACCTACCAGGGCGAGAGTCAAAAGCAGAATCTGTCTGTGTGTAACACCTCTTTCGTTTACCAAAAAAAAAAAAAAAAAAAAAAAAAAAAAAATTAGTCGCTTATGGAGAAGGCTTATAGTGATACAGCTAATAATAGCTTTTGTATACATATGAAATGTTCAGAAAATATTTTACTTTAAAGAAGTTTAACAAGAAATTAATACTAATATATACATACAATGTGGCAGTGATATGTAAGCTCTCGGTTGTGTTGTACTACTACATAAGGCACATCTGTGAATGCACAACAAAAAAAAAAAAAAAAAAACTGGAAAGCAATATACAGCTCAAAACAAAATTAATATACTTAAGTGTATAGAATAACAGACTAGGGAACAAAAATAAAAATGGCTACAAATGTTAAAAAGCATATAGTACATAGAGGTAAATATACATTTATCTATAAAAACATACTTCATTTCTAACATTTTATGCAATATAAACTTAAAAAAAAAAAAAAATTACTTATGAGCCACACATGAGACACTCATCCTTATTTTCAAGAGAACACACCATGGCTGCCATGTTCTGTAAGCCTTCACTTTTGGTTCCATTTGTTGATCCATTGACTTCATTGCTGACAGCAGTAGAAGACTTCAGCTTGGATTTATCAACAGTAAACTGAATAGCATTAGCAGCAGGTTTAGTACGCAGGTAATACATCCCTGTCTTCAAGCCCTGTAGAAAAAATATTAGTATCAGTGACTACATGCACCAATTCATTAACTGACTTGAAAAGATTTGAAGTTCAAAAGGAACATAACACTAATTATCAACATTGGATTTAATTTAACATTTCACTCGAAGCAATATGTTTATTTCTAAGTTAAAAAATTAACCTTTACAATCTACTCCCTTAACATTTGATCTTCAGCTGTTTCTTTACTTTAAAATTTTCAGCAGATAATGCTTAGAACATTCTTTCCTATATGTAAATTTGCAACTCTAAACATGCAACACAACTTACTAATTTCCATGCATAAAAGTGCATAGATGTCAGTTTGCCATAATTTGGTTCTGCAATGTGTATATTCAGTGACTGACTCTGGTCAATGAAGGCTCCACGATCTGCTGCCATCTGAATAACTACTTTCTGAGAGATCTCCCAGACTGTCTTGTAGAGCGCCTTAAGATCTGCAGGAATTTTGTCAATAGTCTGAAATGAATAAAACCATTTTTATAAGAAAATGTGTACATTTTAAAACCTTCATTACTTTTAAATTAAACAGTAAAGAAATTGTCGTTTTAGCCTATACATCTCAAAACGGTAATAGTAATTCATAAATCATAAATAGATTCAGAACAAAAAACCAGTGGTGATATGAACAAGCAATATCTGGTAGATGAAGTGCAGGCATAGTAATCTTGAGTCAGAAGTGTGTGTAATATCCAGTGCATGAAGATATATGGCAACCTTGGAGGTTAAATCATAGGAGAGCACTAACTTTTACATCATACAGCACATGAGGGAACAGGAGACATTCAGATTTGATCCAAGGGAAGGGTAGGGTAGGTCCAATTCCTTGATCACTATCTTTTCAATGTCCTGGCTACTATATCCATTAAGTGCAGAAGTATAGTAATCTTTGGAGGGAAAAGGGGTGGACGAATAGATCATGCTTAAATAGTAGTGGTTTGCCTTCGCTATACTGGTAACTGAAAACCTTAAAGTGGCAAAAAATTTTGAAGGCACTGTATTTAGTATTAATCAAGTCTAGCATATTTTTTTTTTTTTTAACACATTACCTAGGGTGTTAATGTTGCAGTTTAAAAACTGTAGTGTAAAGCACCCTTCTGGCAAGACAGTGATGGAGTGAATGATGGTGGAAGTTTTTCTTTTTCAGGCCACCCTGCCTTGGTGGGAATCGGCCAGTTAAAAAAAAACACCTGGGTCCTAGGTAGTAGGTTGGTAGACAGCAACTACCATCCTGCCAAGTGAGTAAAACGAAAGCCTGTAATTGTTTTACATGATGGTAGGATTGCTGGTGTCCTTTTTTCTGTTTCGTAAACATGCAAGATTTCAGGTACGTCTTGCTACTTCTACTTACACTTAGGTCACACTACACATGCATGTACAAGCATATATATACATACCCCTCTGGGTTTTCTTCTATTTTCTTTCTAGTTCTTGTTCTTGTCTATTTCCTCTTATCTCCATGGGGAAGTGGAACAGAATTCTTCCTCGGTAAGCCATGCATGTCGTAAGAGGCAACTAAAATGCCGGGAGCAAGGGGCTAGTAACCCCTTCTCCTGTATATATTACTAAATGTGAAAGGAGAAACTTTTTTTTTTTTTTTCCTTTTGGGCCACCCCGCCTCTGTGGGATACGGCCGGTATATTGAAAGAAAGATTACCTGGATGAAGAGTAGGTTCCCTTTGTATAATTTTTGGGTGCCATTTTAAATGATTTGAAAAATTAGCAGTCAGAACTTGTCAACCACAGCATGGCACCCTTCCTTAATGACTGTGAACATGCCATGGTTAACAGCTTTATGAAGTAATTTCAGATCTGGAACCAGTCCCTTTAGTATTTCCAAGTGAAAATAATGATAAATCTTACTTTCCAGCATTGCAGCAGTTTGAGACCTCAGAATTTCCAATAATTTAAATGTCTGACTTAATGAGCAGCATTCTCTAGTTTTGAAATTTTACCTGCTTTAAATGGTGCTATCAGTATTCATCGTTACTTAAGTCGAGAAAGCAAGGGCTTAAAAAAATATCACTTTGTAAAGATTTTTTTGGACTGTGGCTTGCCGAGACACTATTTACATAAACTTAATGGATGCCACCCTCAAATTCTAGTACAGTATTAGCAAAGGTACTTTGGTACCCCAAATTTCGGCCAAAATTAATTCCAGAAGGCTGTTCGAGTGCTGTTATCGAGCAAATTTGTTCCCATAAGGAATAATTTACATTAGATAAGTCAGTTTCAGACCTCCCAAAAATACACTTAAATAATTGTTTGAGTTGGGAGCTGCTCAAAATTCAAGGTACCACTGTATATATATAAAATGCAAGAAGAATGTCAACAGATGTGTATGAAAGAAAAGGGAAAGAAAATAAAAATGTCAAGATTAGACAGAAAGGTTGATCAATGCTTGCCTCTCTCTCCCAAAAGGGAGTGGGGGAGGAAATATACCATAGCAGTACTACCAACCCTCTAGTATGGGTGAAGCATTTATCTTGAATGCTACAGAGGCTGGAAATGGTGTTTAAAATAGTGGTGTAAATATCAGAATAGCCAGAGGTGCAAAATAGTGCTTGCAATCCAAAGGACAGGTGGTGATGTAATTGGGTGTATCGTTGGAATTAAGGGAATGAATGATGGTGAAAGTTTCTTTCTAATAGGTCACCCTACCTTGGTAGATTAATATTATAATAAAAACAAAGTGCTAAACCACAAGGGCTATACAGCACTGCAGGGCAGGAAAGGCTGCGAGGGTATCGGGTAGCAAGAGGAGAGGGACGATTAGTAGGTTATGGAGTACAGCAGGGCAGTGGATAGTGCAGGGGTAGAGGGTAGCAAGAGATTGAAGTAGAGGACTGAGAGGAGTGCTAAAGGTATCAGAGTTTGTGGAGTAAATCAGCTGCTGTCAAAAAGTCAATGAGTCTAGATTAAAGGAGGGTCCATCAGCAAGAAGGGAAGGTAAATACCTTGGCAGAAAAAACCTAGTCTGATTTATTTTTTACATTACATTAACATGGTGCTTTGAAGATTAATATACTACATCTTAACAAGTACAGTAGGGCCCCGCTTTACAGAGATTTCAAATTATGACCAAAACTCGCTATACTGCTCCCAGTCTAATATGGCACACCCACCCAATTTGTTTACATTCTCCGTGAGCACTTCTCTTATGTCTGGAAACTTTCCAAAATTTCAAGTGTTTTAAAGTTATTGCATATTTTATATGTACTCTGATAATTATACTTACACATTGCTGGCATGCAGGTACACATTAAAATCACTTAAGTGTCCCTCTAGTCTTAACGCCATAGTAATACTAATAGTACGTAATCGCCCTTGGGCACATTAAACATCTTATTTTACGTTACTATAGACATTTTCATTAATCTATCTGATATTTTCTACAAAATTATATAAGAAACATGTTACATAGCATATAAACATGATGCATACACCCACAATATGATTTCACAAATATGAGGTGCGGAGGGAAAACATTACGTTTTCTCTGGTCCAGCACCAGAGAAAACTTGTATAAATCTGCATTTGGCCCAGTCACTCCCCTCTGCTTTTGTTTAAAATTTCGGCATGAATTCTCATTACTTCTCCCTTTGTTTATGATGGCATCTAAAGGTAGTTGCTAGAAACAAACTCAGTGGACAAAGTATGTCGACGGTAATAACATGACTCTGGGCCGCATTAAATATTGTACAGCTATGTAGCCCAGGCTACCTACACCTGACTTCCTACCAATAAATACTATTCACCTCTCATCCTACACATTTTAAGGTAAATAATGAGTGCACTGTATGTGTATTTTCTCTCTCTGGGCTGCTTTAAATATCATATTAAGTTTAGGATGGGGACCCAAGGCTATCTACACCTGACTTCCTACAAATAAGTACTACTCACCTCTTGCCCAACATTAAGATTACAAATATTTTAGGGTAAGTACTGAATGTACTGTGTATGTATTTTACTTTTTATTGCATTTTTTTAATGCCTAGTTCCATTACTAACTTTATACAAGTTAGTGTAAACTTAGCTGGCATTTATATGCATTTATAAGTGGAAAAAATGGCTTTCTACTTTCCAGCAGTAGCCTGGAACCTAACCTGCTGTGTAAGTGGGGCCCCTGTATGTTAAATGAACCAATTTAAAACCCTAAAGCCAAATTAAAGTTTAAAAAACTTACCTGAATAGAACCATTATTTGCAATTATCTCATTTTTAGTGTGATCGTCCCACAATCCAAGTTCAGTCAAGTCACGCAACAGATGGTGGTTGACTATCTGTTCCCCCAAAATAAACAAAATGTTAGGATATGAACTAAAATCAAAAGCACTATAATGATGACCCATGAAGATAATATAATGGGCACCCTACCTGGGTGAGGAAACAGTCAGTGGTTTAAAAAAAAAAAAAAAAAAGTGAAATGGAATACACTTTCTACTGACCTGCCAGTCAGTCAAAAGGGTAAAGAGAAGACCAAACACTGGAGCTCACTCTCCATTCCACAATAAATACAAAAATCTTGAAATACAAATAAGTGTATCTAAACTGGTGGACTGAGTTGAGATATTAGCTATTTGGGAAATACGTACTAGTTTCTGGTACTAAAGGGCTACATTAAAAAAAAAAAAAATTAACTTCAGGTTAAAGAAGGCAATGAAACTTTACCAGGGGGGTAATCAAGAATAAATAAGTATGGTTATACTTTCTAGCCAAATGAGCTGATTATCTAAACCATTCATTGCAAATGGCAAGGTGGGATGAGCTTGACAGTGAAAGCAACTATGGGGTTTAGAAGTAGCAATGCCAAATAATTATTTCATGCTAGTTATTCAAATGTCAAGATGAGGGGGAGACAGCTAGAGCTTTATGAAGGCAACTATGTAATTTCAATACTTAGCCACAGAAGAAATGAGGTGGTGAAAATGTTTTAAAGACTAAATTAAACTATAAATACTACATGGCATTTGAGGATAATGTTGTATCTTTAAATGTGTTGCTTCTATGTTTTGTATTCTGAACACTCTGCAAAAACAGTGTAATGTGCGAGTGTGGTGAAAGTGTTGATGATGATAGTATTTTCTTTTTGGGGATCTTCTTTCTTTTTGGTCACCATGCTCGGTGGAGGACGGACACGAATGTTAGAAAAAATAAATTAAAAGAAAAAAAAAATTTATCTGAACTTATTTTATGAATAACACCTGAAATTCTCCAGAAAATCTTCAGAGAGTTATATGATGTTATGTAATCAATTATCTTGATTTCCAATTTAGGGAAATGAAGCTAATTTAAAGAGTCCGGCAAAGTTACGCACACGAATTTTGGCAACCTTGTTTAAGAGGCGGAATCATGAAGCTCTTGGAGTCACATTCCACATATCATTATGGAAAATCTAGTAAAGAAGATATTCAGAATTGCTTTTCAGTATATTACAATGTATCTGTCGTTAATTGTTTATCTCGGGAAATTAACTCCAATTTTTACAATCAAGATTCCTTCGCTGGCAACAAGACACCCAAATACTGTATTGGTGACTCCATTTTAAAGGATGGTTACTAGTGGAATCTTTTCTTGACATTACAACTGCTCTTAAATTTATGACATGAGCATTACAGAACAAATTTCAAGAAATCCAAGAGATAGTTTGGCTATCATAAAAATTAAGATCACTGCAGTTTTTGCTTTACTTTTGTAGAAAGCAGTCTTCATACATGAACTAACAAATTTAAACATAATATAGTGATTGTGTTATTCTTTTAGTAAGCTCTACTTACTCCTTTACTGACAGGGGATCCACTGTAAGTTTCGTAAGGGCCTTCCTTCTCAGCAAGTTCACAGCTTGCCTCCATGGCTGCATAGTAAATAGTTTCAAATATTTGTTTGTTCAGCAACTTTGCTTCTTCAGAATCAAATGGATATCTGCAAAAAGTAATTCCAATGAAATCCACAGCTCCTTATATACTGTATTTGGATCTCTCTTCCATGCACTCGTCTTTTACTAAACCCATAGGGATCATCCAGTACCTTGGGCAAGCATTCAGGTTCTATCCAAGGGAAGCACAGGTCAAGTTTTAGATCAAGAGCCCCTCACCCTTGAGATTTATAACCATTACACACCACATAACTGACTCATGAAATCACAATGACACGATTGCAAACAAACCATACCAGGGGTGGGGTTTGTACACACCACATAGCTTCACAATAAATAAATAAATAAAAATCCCAGATGGAGCCATCTTTGTCTATCTCCAATGTTTTTTATGCCTGTTACACCGAAGCATTTCTAGATACTGTATGGACTAGTGGCCAGCTGCCATCTGTGACCTTGTTCTGGGTCCTTCCATATTATATAATGTTCTTGCTTGCCTAGTCTATGCTCTCGATTGTGTTAACCATTACACAATTTTTTCATGTGAATAATCTATGCTAGTCTTCAGCTTTTACACCATACACCTAGTTGCTAGTCTGAGGGCCCAACCCAGCAACCACCCCAGGACAAACTGATGCATGTAACCAAAGAGGTCATTATGAGGAAGGTTACTTAAGAGCATGCACAAATCAAGTCTTAACTAGTACCCACTCATTCATTACCCAGGACCTAGACAAACAGGCACCTACAGAGCTATATATTCTCTATTGTACCTTTTTTTTTTTTTTTAAGACCAAAGTATGTGCAATAAGTATTAAAATTTGTTTATAAAGTAATTTTCACAGCCATAAGAGGGAAAACTTCCCAAACAGTATAATGAAATGTTTATAAACTAACTAATTACCTCATAAGGATGAAAGCATCAGCAAGACCTTGAACACCAATGCCAATGGGGCGATGACGGTTATTTGAGATTCGTGCCTCTTCCACAGGGTAGAAGTTCACATCGATAATCTTATTCAAATTTCTGGTGACAACCTTAAAAAAAATTAGGGCTTACCACAATTTTTATAAAATCAAAATTTGGTTGTGACCCTACTGTTTGTCAAGAAATTAGAGTAAGCTACACATCACCTGATATGAAATTTTAAATATTAAATTCTTATTAAACATGTCCTTGTTAAATACACGCATTTTCTTGGAACTACATACAGTACAGTATTTGGATCTGAGTAAGGTGTACATATCTTAAACTTTCAGACTAGAAATTTATCTTTTCAGTAATTGAGATAACCTAACTCACTGTCTCTGAAATTACTCTCACCTTTCCTACAATCACTTCAGACATCTTTTTGCCCTTGGTCATGATGATTCCTTTTATTTTCTCAAACCATTTAATCATTAATGAACAATGTGCAAACATAGATGAGGGAATAAACAGCAACATAAGCAAATTTGCTGACGACACCAAAATAGGCCATCCAATTCATTCTAATGAGGACACTAGAGCACTCCAGGATGATTTGAATAGACTCATGCAATGGTCGGAGAAGTGGCAGATGCAGTTTAATATAGACAAATGCAAAGTTCTAAATATTGGACAGGAAAATAACCATGCAACATATAAACTAATGTAGATCTTAATACTACTGATTACGAAAAGGATTTAGGAGTTCTGGTTAGCACTAATCTAAAACCAAGACAACAGTGCATTAGTGTTCGCAGTAAAGCTAACAGAATTCTTGGCTTCATATCTAGAAGTATAAATAATAGAAGTCCTCAGGTTGTTCAACTCTTCATATCCTTGGTTAGGCCTCATTTAGACTATGCTGCTCAGTTCTGGTCACCATACTACAGAATGGATATAAATGCTCTGGAAAACGTACAGAAAGATAACCCCACGTATCAGAAATCTTCCCTATGAGGATAGACTGAGGGTCCTGAATCTGCACTCTCTCGAAAGGCGTAGAATTAGGGATATGATCGAGGTGTATAAATGGAAAACAGGAATAAACTAAGGGGATGTAAATAGCGTGCTGAAAATTTCCAGCCTAGACTCGCAGCAATGGTTTCAAGTAAAAAAAATCAGATTCAGGAAGGATATAGGAAAGCACTGGTTTGGTAATAGAGTTGTGGATGAGTGGAACAAATTCCCGGGTACAGTTATTGAGGCTAAAACGTTGTGTAGTTTTAAAAATAGGTTAGATAAATACACGAGTGGGTGTGGGTGGGTGTGAGGTGGACCTGACTAGCTTGTGCTGCTGGGTCCGGTGCTGTGCTCCTTCCTTGAGTGGAGGTGACGAGACTGGGTGGGTCATTGGGCTAATCCAGGAGAGAGGGGACCTGCTCTGCATGGGTCAGTAGGCCTGTTGCAGTGTTCCTTCTTTATGTATTTAGAAAGCAATATTGGCTGTGCCAACTTTAATTTTTTAAGCCCAATAGTATGTTAATTTCTTACAATAACCTTTTACTTTCCCCATACTAAATATAAAGTAATTCCAAAACAAGATAAATTTAATTTACATGCGATTAATAAACTCTTTCCCTGCAGCTAAACCCTAATTTGCACTGAACTATGCAAATCTGACAAGCTACGAAAACATAATACATTATATGGTATCAGCAACGAATTCCGAGTTTTCATATGTGTGTGCGTGTGTATTCAGCAAGAACAAACTAACAAATAGCAAAATTTTACTTCCACCATAGAGAACATACTGGATAAGATTTCTTCAAAAGCATGATGAGAACAGCACTAATGTAAAGAATATAGCATGCACACTGTGGGCAGAATTAATGCAAATACGGAAAGCTTTAAAATTTAAGTTCATACAATATTTTTGATAATACGGTATTTCAATATACCATACAGTATTCAACACTAGTTACATTACTCTCTCATTACAAGTGGGATCTTTCTTACACATTTCTACCAATAAAAATTCCCTCAGGTCATCAGTGCAAAATTTAACACATTAAATGTTTAATTAGTACCTTTGAGACTTCCTTCAGCTTTGCAAAGTTGTAAGTTCTATCTGGGTTGACATACATATTTAGAGCAATAGAAGCCAAGTTGCATACTGCAATCTGAAAGAAAAAATATATTTTGCATGTAAACATACATCAACAGCTAAAAATAAGGCTGTAAATATTGAAATGTGTCAGGTGCATTACACACTAAATATAGTAATTTTGCTTTAAGAAAAATATTGTTAGTCCTTCAATCACACCACCACTTACTTCATCTGGTGACGAATACTCAACAATCTCTGTGCAAAGATTTGAGCACTTTATTGTGCCAAGGTTCTGTTGATTGCTCTTTCTGTTGCAAGCATCCTTATACAGCATGTAAGGAGTTCCAGTTTCCACCTGTAATGTACATATTTTGACAAACATGTATATAGTATAATTTAATTACACTCATTTCCATTACCCAATACACTGCACATAATGAAAACCACGTAGTAAAAACCTCAAAATAATCTTAGAGATAAGCAAGGAATTATGGTACCACCAGGCAACACACTGAAATAACTAACAAGGAAAGGACTTGGCACCAGAAGCCATCATTAGTAACGTGGTAACTGAAGAGACGTTTAAAGTTGGCAAGGCTTAACAATGTCCCTAATGAGTTATGTAAATTACTGGAAAAGATTACAAGACTTAATGAACATAGGTGTGAATTCCTCACAGAACACCAGTAGAGATTCAGAAATAGGTGATGCTTTACTAACCTTTGGAAATGATTAGCACACATCAGGGAAGGGTCGAGTAGACTATATATTCCAAGACTAAAAAAAGCTACTTAGCAAATTGCAGAAGTTGGGGTAAAAGGAAAGTATGAACATGGATAGGGAAATACTTTAACAATAGAACAGAAAAAATATCACATTACAGTATGGAATATAAGGAACACTGACTAGTGAAACTGCACAAGGTTTTGTATTGGAATGCCCACTGTACTCAGTGTACATTAATGACTTGGTGGCAGAGTTACTTCCAACTTATCCTTGTTTGCAGATGAGAATACAAATATAAGAACAAAGAAATTGGCACAAAGCCCCAAACTTCATTAAAGTGGGGATAAATGGTTACTAGAATTTAACAAAAATATGTCATGAAACTGGAAGATGGCAAAGTGCAGCTAAAAAAGAGGTAAAAAAGAAAAGTAAGCTCCCAGCCAGTTAAAAGATGAAGACTTGGAAATAACCATTACCACAAACCTGTTTCCTGAGAAATATAACATTAGCAACAGGAGCCTAAAACAACCACCACCTTATTCATGATGTCATGTAACCCATTCTTCAGTATCTAGTGCTGATGTGAAACCCACATTTAAAAAGTGAAATTTGTGTGTAGGGAAGGGAGGGAGCATTAGGATTGGTACCCATCTCGGTACACTGCTCAAACTCGACCACCCCTATAAAGATCATACAGGGGTACGTACAATTCGTCGGAAATACGAGCATGATAGTATGTACTTAGCTGGTTTACAATATTAAAACTTACCTGTGATTCAATTACAGCATACCACAGTTGCTGGGCCTTCACTTGACGACGGAACCGACCTTCACTTTCATACTTTGTGTACAGTTTTTCAAACTCTTCACCTGTTGAATACACAATTGTGTAAAAAAAAAAAAAAATACACAAGCATTTGAAAGTACATGCATGAGACCATATGGTTAATTACTATATAGCATAAGCACACTATTAAATAATTATACTAACAATAGTTGTAGCTACAGTTAGAGTAAGAGGTAGATGGGAAAAGAGGAAGGTGGTAACAACAAGCAAGAGGGAGGTGAAAGTGTATAAACTAAGGGAGGAGGAAGTTCGGGTGAGATATAAGCAACTATTGGCAGAAAGGTGGGCTAGTGCAAAGATGAGTAGTGAGGGGGTTGAAGAGGCTTGGAATAGTTTTAAAAATGCAGTATAAGAATGTGGGGCAGAAGTTTGTGGTTATAGGAGGGTGGGGGCAGGAGGAAAGGAGCGATTGGTGGAATGATGAAGTAAAGGGTGTGATAAAAGAAAAAGGTAGCTTATGAGAGGTTTTTACAAAGCAGAAGTGTTACAAGAAGAGCAGAGTATATGGAGAGTAAAAGAAAGGTAAAGAGTGGTGAGAGAGTGCAAAAGGAGAGCAGATGATAGAGTGGGAGAGGCACTGTCAAGAAATTTTAATGAAAATAAGAAAAAACTTTGGAGCGAGTTAAACAAGTTAAGAAAGCCTAGGGAAAGTATGGATTTGTCAGTTAAAAACAGAGTAGGGGAGTTAGTAGATGGGGAGATGGAGGTATTAAGTTGATGGCGAGAATATTTTGAGGAACTTTTAAATGTTAAGGAAGAAAGAGGCAGCAATTTCATGCACTGGTCAGGGAGGTATACCATCTTTTAGGAGTGAAGAAGAACAGAATGTAAGTGTGGGGGAGGTACATGAGGCATTATGTAGAATGAAAGGGGGTAAAGCAGCTGGAACTCATGGGATCATGACAGAAATGTTAAAAGCAGGGGAGATACAGTGTTGGAGTGGTTGGTATTTTTGTTTAATAAATGTACGAAAGAGGGGAAGGTACCTAGGGATTGGCGGAGAGCATGTATAGTCCCTTTATATAAAGGGAAAGGGGACAAAAGAGACTAAAAATTATAGAGGAATAAGTTTACTGAGTATACCAGGAAAAGTGTACGGTAGGGTTATAATTGAAAGAATTAGAGGTAAGACAGAATGTAGGATTGCGGATGAGCAAGGAGGTTTCAGAGTGGGTAGGGGATGTGTAGATCAAGTGTTTACATTGAAGCATATATGTGAACAGTATTTAGATAAAGGTAGGGAAGTTTTATTGCATTTATGGATTTAGAAAAGGCATATGATAGAGTGGATAGAGGAGCAATGTGGCAGATGTTGCAAGTATATGGAATAGGTGGTAAGTTATTAAATGCTGTAAAGAGTTTTTATGAGGATAGTGAGGCTCAGGTTAGGGTGTGTAGAAGAGAGGGAGACTACTTCCCGGTAAAAGTAGGTCTTAGACAGGGATGTGTAATGTCACCATGGTTGTTTAATATATTTATAGATGGGGTTGTAAAGGAAGTAAATGCTAGGGTGTTCGGGAGAGGGGTGGGATTAAATTTTGGGGAATCAAATTCAAAATGGGAATTGACACAGTTACTTTTTGCTGATGATACTGTGCTTATGGGAGATTCTAAAGAAAAATTGCAAAGGTTAGTGGATGAGTTTGAGAATGTGTGTAAAGGTAGAAAGTTGAAAGTGAACATAGAAAAGAGTAAGGTGATGAGGGTATCAAATGATTCAGATAAAGAAAAATTGGATATCAAATTGGGGAGGAGGAGTATGGAAGAAGTGAATGTTTTCAGATACTTGGAAGTTGACGTGTCGGCGGATGGATTTATGAAGGATGAGGTTAATCAGAATTGATGAGGGAAAAAAGGTGAGTGGTGCATTGAGTTATATGGAGTCAAAAAATGTTATCTATGGAGGCAAAGAAGGGAATGTATGAAAGTATAGTAGTACCAACACTCTTACATGGGTGTGAAGCTTGGGTGGTAAATGCAGCAGCGAGGAGACAGTTGGAGGCAGTGGAGATGTCCTGTTTAAGGGCAATGTGTGGTGTAAATATTATGCAGAAAATTCAGAGTGTGGAAATTAGGAAAAGGTGTGGAGTTAATAAAAGTATTAGTCAGAGGGCAGAAGAGGGGTTGTTGAGGTGGTTTGGTCATTTAGAGAGAATGGATCAAAGTAGAATGACATGGAAAGCAAATAAATCTATAGGGGAAGGAAGGCGGGGTAGGGGTCGTCCTCGAAAGGGTTGGAGAGAAGGGGTAAAGGAGGTTTTGTGGGCAAGGGGCTTGGACTTCCAGCAAGCATGCGTGAGCGTGTTAGATAGGAATGAATGGAGACGAATGGTACTTGGGACCTGATGATCTGTTGGAGTGTGTGAGCAGGGTAATATTTAGTGAAGGGATTCAGGGAAACCGGTTATTTTCATATAGTCGGACTTGAGTCCTGGAAATGGGAAGTACAATGCCTGCACTTTAAAGGAGGGGTTTGGGATATTGGCAGTTTGGAGGGATATGTTGTGTATCTTTATATGTGTATGCTTCTAAACTGTTGTATTCTGAGCACCTCTGCAAAAACAGTGATAATGTGTGAGTGTGGTGAAAGTGTTGAATGATGATGAAAGTATTTTCTTTTTGGGGATTTTCTTTCTTTTTTGGGTCACCCTGCCTCGGTGGGAGACGGCCGACTTGTTGGAGAGAGAGAGAGAGAGAGAGAAAAAAAAAAAAAAAAAACAATATGAGCCAGAAGCAGAAGAATCCTTAAAAAAAAGTTCCCAATACTGCAGTGCCAACAGAATAGAAATGTTACCAAGAAAAAATTCAAATTAACACATTTAAACCCTAGCATTATTGTGATAACTTATGCTTCGTATTTTGAAATGGTCAAAGATTCATAGTCCTGAATTTTATAAAGGTAATTTAATTTTCAAGGATTTCATGACCTGTAAAAACCCTAACATGTATAACAAAGGTTATGCAAGATATTCATAAAGCTTACCCCAAGTATCATGCAATCCAGGACATTCATGAGGACACATCAGGCTCCAGTTTCCATTCTCCTCCACACGTTTCATGAAAAGATCTGGGATCCACAAGGCATAGAACAGATCACGTGCCCTTTGTTCATCCTGTTACACAAAATTAAATATACAACTAATAGGCAGTGTTAAGTCAAAATTAAGAGTAATACACTGTAATTACAAGAGTAGAATGTTGACATTTCAGCTAATAAATTTCACCATAAAGCACTGCATTAAACCTGATTCAATGGAGAATACTAAGTTTTACATACATTAAGTACACTATAGGCTCCAAGCATTTTAAGCAATTTAGTGTCATGCTGACAATGTCACTATACATATTATGTTAACGATTCCTAGAATAATCACTTCAAGGCTTCCTAAAAATGAACAGAAATATTACAGGAATGACACTTATGCATACATAGGAATGTATAATAAGTATGCATCCAAGATTTACCTGCCAATGTAAAATATTTAACAGGCCTACTTCACTTATCTGGTAGTTCTGTAGTACCTTCCTACACTTAACATTTACCTACTACATAATCTTGCTAAGTATTTATTTTTACCTATCTGGAGCTCTACTACTATATGTGGACATTTATACCTTGTCTTCACACATGAAGCTACATTACAGCAAATTCAACTAGTGATGGGACGATACCAAATTGTTTGCCAATACCGATATTCAGTTTTTAAGCTGATACTAATACCATCAACAGCCAGTACTTACCCATATTATACTGAACAATACCAGTAGTGATACTCCATTTTAGGCTGAAACTGATACTGTACCATCAAAATTAGCCAATACCCAATGATACCAATACCTTAACATTCCCCTAATTTGAACATTCCCTATAGACTTCCACCTATTGGTCTGGTCATTTGAAGTGAAACAGTTACCAGTTTCAAGCTACTGAAAGAAAAAATGAATAGCTGTGAATGAAGAGACTAATGTGAAACAACCAAGACCTCTACTAAGAGCTGCAGCAGGGAACAGATTCATATAACTTACTTTGCCAGTATTCTTGCGCAAGTCAAGGAAATCAAAGATATCTGGGTGCCAGGGCTCCAAGTATATAGCAAATGCACCTGGCCTCTTGTTACCGCCCTGGTCAACATAGCGTGCTGAAAATTCAGATTAATAGCACACTATACTATATAATTAACAAAATCAATCTGTACATTAAGTCTAGCTAATGCACCTCAGTGGAAAAGTATCAGCATAGCTAGACATTAATTCAATACAAAAATTTCAACTGACAGATCCTACTATAGATTACCAAAGATACAATGGGTTATGCAGTCCCAAAAAATTTCACCATTAACATTATAATACACAATCAAGTCGAACCACCACTATCAGATTGCAAGCCAACTTGGGGTAATTTTAAAGTAAACTGGACTAGCATACAACTTCACAAGAGCTCAAGGCAAAAAAATTCCTTGGTAGATCAGTCATTTCAATGCTACAGTTCAACTGAACACTTCTTTAGCATACTGCATTCTGTTCAGGTCACCATATTTGATAGTATAATAAAAAAGATTAATAATGCAATGACAATTATTGATTTCCAGGGTAATATTTAATATTAGTAATAGGTTATCCCAAAATGTCGAAGTCAAAAATTAGCCAACACCCTAAATATAACAAAGAAAAGTGCATAGTTTGTCTAAGATCAGTAAACAACTCTGCCATAGTAGCAAATTAAAAAAATAGACATACACGTTCAAATTCATGCTTTTGTTTACAATGCACAAGTCCTCTATTAAAGTTCCAACAAGACCCAGCGGTGTTCAGCAGGCACAAAAACAATACCTTGAATCAGATACAGGTTACAAAAATTTAGAAAATTTGCATATCAATGGCCATTTTCAGTATGAATGAACAATATGTCAATGAAGAACACCACTTAAAAGTATTTTACCTGTATTGTTGTATACTCTGAGCATGGGCACCAGGCCATTCGAGGTACCATTAGTCCCAGCAATATAGCTGCCCGTTGATCTAATACAATGCACATTTAGACCAATGCCTCCAGCAGATTTTGAAATGAGTGCACACTGCTTCAAAGTGTCATAAATGCCCTCGATGCTGTCATCCTTCATGGTTAGCAAGAAGCAGCTAAAAATGTAAAATGTTAATGCAGTACTATATAAATCATCCAAAAAATAAAAATTTAAATACAGTGGACCCCCGGTTAACGATATTTTTTCACTCCAGAAGTATGTTCAGGTGCCAGTACTGACCGAATTTGTTCCCATAAGGAATATTGTGAAGTAGATTAGTCCATTTCAGACCCCCAAACATACACGTACAAACGCACTTACATAATTGGTCGCATTCGGAGGTAATCGTTATGCGGGGGTCCACTGTATAAAGAATCCCATAGTATTCAACCTTTTAAGCCTTAGTGAAAATATTTTAAGACTACAATTATACTTGTATATACGTACATACATATAAAGATTAAAGGCTGTAGAGTAAATGTTTATTATTCATCAAATTAAAATGAGAAGCAACAGACCCTCAAATTATTTACTGCTGAATATTTTGTGCACACAAAAGGAAATGGAATTTGGAAATCTCACAAAAACATTATCAGAAAATTACCTCAGTTTATCAAATTCACTTTAATACAACTGTCTTGTACAGCAATAAACAATACCTGGATAGTTGTGGCCGACATGTTGCAGCATTAAAGAGGGTGGGAGAGGCATGAGTAAACCATTTCTCAGATAACAAGTTGTAAGTTTCAATTACTGCATCAATATCTTCCCCATGGATGCCAACTGCTACCCTCATCAGCATTTGTTGTGGACGCTCTGCTACTTTCCCATCAATTTTCAGCAAATATGAGCGCTCCAATGTCTGAGAAATAATTATTTGTTGTAATGCATCAAATCAAATATTTACTGCACGAATCACCCCACTCTTCAGTGCATTAAACAACCAAAATGGCAATACCCCAAATATACATGTCCAGCTAAAGCTTGAATTTGTCAAATGCAACCATGATGTAACCACAAAAATTAGTATTATGCTGTACATAATGAAACAAAGTGGGGCAACATATCCTGAATATCATAAAAGCTAAAAGAAAATCCAGGTGTCAATGTTCCAATACACAACTCCTCAATGGTTAAATTAAAAGCAAAGAAAAAAATGCAGAGGCAGATTGATTTACAGAACTTCAAAATTGCTTTTGACGAGTTATTCAAACTACGTACTCTGAAAACTACACATCACAGGCGGAGTAAAAGAAACTACTGCACCAGTTTTTTTACGGAAAAAATTCACTACACAACAGGAAGAGCATACCGCCAGATGACATAACATTATTTTTGACATTTATTTCACGACAAACCATTAGGATTACTGGAATGTAGATACAATACCAACCTTAAAGCCAAAGTAATTGTATGAAAAGTCTCTATCATAGATGATGGCAGAGTTCAGTTTATCTGCATTGTCCATAATTATCTTGAAATATTTGTCACTAATCATTGGCATCCTCATTCCTGTTTTCTTGTCCTTGATGTTGTACAGATCATCCATCACCTCTGTGGACAGGCATCCTATTAACTAACAGATGAAACATGTCAAGAATTTGGCACAGCCCAAAGGGTCATACATCAGGGGAATGGGAGGTAACCAGGTCTAATTTAAGGAAGGGGAGGGTATCTCCAGTTCACTGGATCAAAAGCACTTCACCAGCATGAGAGCATTTCCCTTGAAGGGAATTATCAAAATTCCTAGCTTAAATACATTTTTAGGAATACAAGTAATTTACACAATGATAGTTGCTGTAGATGATAAAAGCAGTAAAGGAAACAAATAGGAATAATTTTTCCAGCAATGCTCAATTTGTGTATACACGAGCTCTTCATACCACTAAAAGATTTCTTCGTTTCCTTGTGAAGATTTGACACTGCAATCCTTGCTGCCAACACAGCATAGTCAGGGTGTTTTGTGGTCATTGTTGCTGCAGTTTCTGCAGCCAGGTTGTCCAACTCCACTGTTGTCACCCAGAGTAAAGTCCATTAATCACCTTCAGGGTAATTGCAGGCTGAAAAAAAAAATTATAAACAATACAATGAAAAATAACTATACTATTACACAGTATTGCAGTTTCATCATTTTTTTTTCAAATGAACACCTTAATAAAGTACAGCCTCTCTTCACTTAGCAACATGATCATTTACCAATGACTGACTTACAAGCTTTCTGACCAGTATACATACCTAAATAATGGATATTAGAACTGATGTCCTCTATTCTGCTTATTATACAGTACACTACTGTATAAACATTTAAAAATATACTGGAAATGTTATAAATGGTGCAAAGGTGACATTAAAACTATCAAAGATGGTTGACACAAATCCACTACCATTATAGTATGCTCCTCACTTAGCAACGAATTCGTTTACTGACGTGGTCTTAGAAATGGAACTGCCATTGAGGAGAGGCTCTATTGCAAATATATGCCTTTTATATGGTTCAAGTCAAACTAGTTACCGGATCAATGAAATCCATGTTGAGACCATAGCAAAGTTTCTGGATGCGTGATGTTATCTTGTCAAACATAACAGGCTCTTGCCGGCCACCTGTAAAACAAAAGTAACATCCAATAAATGGCATTAACCCTTTGACTGTCGCAACCCCCAATCCTGAGGTGTCTCCTGGCGTCGCAAAATTTAAAAAAAAAAAATTATTTTTTCTAATGAAATAAGAGAATCTTTTCCCGATTGTAATGACACCAAAAAAAACGAAATTTGATGGAATACTGACGGAATTATGCTCTCGCGAAGTTAGCAACCTCGGTGCTGTTTACAAATCGGCGATTTCGCCCACTTTGAGCCCTATTTTCGGCTAATTCCATTGTTCCAGTCACCCAAACTCATAGCTATTTCTTTAGAACTCCATTTTTTCTATCGATTGAGTACAAGAAACTGCCCATTTACCAATTTCAACTACCTAATAATGTGGTCAGAAATTTGCAATTTGGCCAATTTCACAAAAACTAAAAAATCTGACAATTTCAAAATAAGGTCCAGAATGAACAATGCAGACATTCCTGGCTCTAAAATAACATTTTCTTTGCTCATCAGTCATGTCTCCAGGCCCCTCTGATATTACTCTTGCTTTCTATTTTGAATTTTTATTCAAACAAAAAATAGAAGACTTACTATTATGCAGACTACTGTAATAATTGTATAAATAACATCAACCCATTCATGACTGCATATTAGAATGGCTAGTTGGACATTTATTGGACAATGGCATCATTTGTTTACTTTTGAACATTGGCAAAAATCAAACATTTCCCCTACTTTGAGCTCCATTTCTAGGTTCTTTTTATAGTAAAATCAATCAAAATCACCTCTATTTCTATATGTTTTCCATTCTATCAAATGAGACCACGAAAACGAGAATACAACCATAAATACTATACGAAAATAGACCACAAAGTCAGCATTTTAATAAAACGGTCAGTTTTTTTTTTCTCATTATGCACTGCATGCTCCAGGATTTTTTTTATATGGTGCACACTGACCACACAGACCCATTCTCTCACATGTGGGCCTACCAGCTTTCTCCTGCTTGATCTGAAGCTGCTAGAATTTATGAGTATATATACGTCAAACACGGTACCTCGTAAGACGTATATATACGGCCGCGACAGTCAAAGGGTTAAAGTTGTATAGAAAATTGCTGACTGGCTTTAGAAAAGTCCAAATATTTGTCTATTAGACAAATCTCGCTACTTATTAACCCACCGAGTACTGAATCATTGGAAATCTCTTACCAATGAACACGAGTGGAAAAGGCAACTAAAAGTCCAATAAAACTAAGAAATGCAGTATCCAGTATTTTAACATGCTTCAGATAAAGAACATTCATGACACTACGAATGTATTACAAATATTTTAATATTTAAAAGTGAGCTGGTAATTTAAATTTTAAATGATCCAAGTTAATTCTTTTGGATAAATGACATTATGCTTCTCATATGTGAACTTTCTGGTGCATAAATTTGAAAACATCAATAGACTGCAATTAGACAGGTACAAACATTTCTGAAAACAAATTCTGAATATTTGACAACTGATTAATAATACATTTTCAAGAGGAATAAGCATGTCTCAACAGATCATGAGTGAGAAACTTTTGCTTCCACCTAGACAGGGTCTACAGCCATTAAGGTAGGTAATGATATCTAAATAGCACTGACCTGGTAGAATGTTCAGCACTCTCTGCAATAAACAAATACGAGCATCCAGTTCTTACCCAGCTGTTGGTGTGAGTGGACACAGAGCGAGCGGCTGGTGCCCTCTGGTGTCTGTTTTGAGAAGTCTGATTTTCTCAAGATGGCGGAGCGCAGGCGAAGTCAACACTATCTGTGTGGAATTGTTGAAAGGCGCAATATACCAGGACACCGCTGACGTCATTCTGCCTCTTGTAATAAGAGATACATATGGGATCCCAAGTGAGGATTTATATGGGATTTCCTTGAACAGCAACGCAAGAATTTTTGTAAAATTTGTGTCGTCTGCTGCTTATGCGAGAGCTGTGGACACCTTTCAAGAAAAACGGATTGTCATCAACACTGGTCTTGAGGTGTGCCTACGTGATGTCTCGGCGTGTTATACGTGGGTTCGTCTACGTAATATACCCTTCGAGGCAGACGAGGTGGGCATTCGTCGGACATTTGGGTGCTATGGCACCATACAAGCTGTCAACGTAGGGTGTTGGTCCCAGGGCTTTTATGCTGGCATGCTCGAGGGTTCTTTCTCGATGAAAATAACACACACATCCAATTCCCTCGTTTGTCATGTTGGAGGATTTTCGGACGCAGGTCTACACAACCTACCCAGGGCAGGTTCGGTCGTGCCGACTTGTGGTGCAACGGGTCATATGGCGGCGACTTGCGAGCAACGACGAGGGAGAAAACGGTCGGACCTGACAGACACTACATCCAAAGAAGCAATGGTGTAGGATGAGTTGGCCCTTCGGAGGCCCACGATGGTGGATGATGTGCTGCAGGTTTTACCGGTGGACGTGTAGTGGAGTGATGCAGTGGATGCTGCAGAGGGGATTGTCTCGACGCTACCTCCGGCGTCGGAGATCGTGGCAATTGGGTGTGTCAACAGCATGTCGCCTCCAGTGGGAGAGGAGGCGCACGCGCTATTGGTGTTGCCCAGTTTTGAGGACATACAGAGGATCCTCGACAGCCTACATTGGCGACGGCGCCTGTGGTCGACCATGGAATAGCGGGACGTGTGGGCGATGAGGAAAGGCGTACACCTTGTACGACAGTGGTGGTGACAGATGTCAAGGTGCATAGGGAGGATGGTGAAAGGCTTATGGATTATGAAGGAGTGTCACATAAGAGGCCCAGTACACCAGTGGAGGACAATGTCTTAACACCAGGGCAAAGGTCTTGTAAAATGGTGTGGGTTGACGCAGCCAAGGGCATTAAGGGACTTCCCTTGGAGAAGTCGAGTGGGAAAGTTGGCCAGGTGCAGCAGTGGCAAGTCCACATCAAGGTTAAAGGTGACAGGAAAACGCAATGAGAAAACCAAACCGGAGAGTTCAAGTGTATAACGATGAATGTTAACGGCCTCAGAGCAGAGGTCAAGAGGCGTTGGGTAGAGGTATCGCTCAGCCGTTTGGATGTCGATGTTTTCTTTTTTATTCAAGAACACAATTTTAGCTGTGGTAGTGAATTACGTGTGCAAGGGTGTATGTTATGCGGGGAATTCGGATAATCTGAAGGGTGGGGTAGAGATAGGCATAAGGGAGACCAGCCCTTTTATGCTCGTAGCGTGGGAGTGGGGTGGAGGGGGCTGGGTCGTGCGTGTGGTGGGTTCATGGGGGAACATTCAGGTGGGTTTCGTGGGAGTATATATGCCAGCGACATCAAATAGACAAGTAAAGGAGGATTTTGTACTTGATGTTTTGGTTTATTTTCTCAGAGGTCTACCCTTAGTTTCTGTCGTAGCTGGCAATTGGAATTGTGTGATCTGGGAAAAAGATGTTGAACCGCGCGGTGGGGGTGTAATTTAGGGGTTTTATGGGAGGTTCTGCAGGTGATTGGTGTAGTGGATGTTGTGGGTAGCGATGGGTGGAATGTGGACCACACTTTTTGTAGGAAGGGTTACGCCGCGTGGCTGGACAGGGTTTACGTCACTAGCTTAGTCCGTAGTGGCAGGGTTGATTGTGTTGATCTGGATTTCTCAGACCACCGTGGTGTTCTGGTAACTCAAGTGGGAAGGCATTATTCGTGTTTTTTCTAGTTATTGGAAATTAAATGTTAATTTGTTGCGAGTAGTAGATGCTTTGGAAGCTTTCAGGTTATGGTGGGTTGGATTCTGGAATGAAGGAAATGGGATAGAGGATGTAGAGTGGTGGCATTCAAAGGCAAAAAATGCAATACAGGGTTTTTATAGGTTAGGGAAGTAGGAGGCGTGTTATAGATATGGGAAGCAAAAGTATTTAGAGGGACAGCTGCAGGATTGTTATGGTGCAGGTGGGAGGTATGACCTCGCAGAAATAGCGTGCCTTCATAGTCAATTACGGGAAATTCAGAATGATAATTTTCAGGCTTTGAGGGTGCGAGTGGGGATTGAGGAGGTGCTTTGGGGGGATAAACCCTCAGTAGGGGTTCTGCGTAGTTTTAGAATGAGACGTACGGCAACAACAGTATTGTCAGTAGTGGTCGGTGATGACTTGGGTGGTTATCGTAAAGGACAAAGGCTAGTTACTACTGAGAGCATAGGGACCTATGCAGACCAATGGTTTGCGAGAAAATGGAAGGGTAGGGAGGGGAATCGAGAGGCGAGGGAAGCTTTACTGCGTGGCATAGTGGCGAATTTGAGAGACATAGATCGAGAGGATATGGAGGGTTGTATATTGGAGGGGGAGGTTTACAAGGCTGTTCAGGGACAGGCACTGAGGAAATCGCCTGGTTGGGACGGGATACTAGGTGATTTTTATGTAGTTCATTGGGAACTTAAAACACATGTTGGTTCGACTTTACAATTCAATGAAAATTAGTGGTAGAATGGGCGGTGAGGCGGGGTTGGGTGTTGTTGTGTTGGTACCAAAGGCCGAGGTCCGCGAATCTTTGGAGGCATATAGGCCCATCATGTTGATGGGAGCGGATTATAAGATTTTTGCTCGTATTTTGGCAAACCGGATGAAATGGGTTTTGGACAAGGTAATATGGGAAGGGCAATATGGGATTCCTGGACGATCTATGAGAGATGGTCATCGACACCTGAAAAATTTCGTGAAGGATTGTAGTGGAGGAGTCGTAGGATTAGACTGGGAAAAGGCTTTTGACAATGTGGATAGGGAAACATTATTAGCAATATTATTGAAGCAGGGATTCGGGCAAGAAATAGTAGCATGGGTGCGTATGTTATACGTATATGGAGGCACAGGTTCGGGTCCTGGTCAATGGGAGGTTGGGGTCCGCGATAGGCACGGAATGGGGGCTGCGTCAGGGGTGTCCCTCTCGCAGCTTTTGTTTGCCTGTTTGCAGGACCCCTTTTATAGATTGGTAATGGATGGGGTAGGGGGGGAGGATTGTGCGCAGGGT